GTGTCGGTTGAGCCGTACTGTGGATCACAAACTAGATATGCCTCCATCAATGCCCATGGAATTTTGAGTGCGTAGTTATGTACGTGTTGTACGAATGCCACTACTTGACTGGGACTGAGACGGAGGCCGAATTGCTAGTCTAGCTCCTGACGAGCTGAGTTGTCCTGCTGCAGGGTAGTTCGGACCCTCTTGACGGTGTCCGTGGGCTCGGCAGCCGAATTAAGGTTCTACTTGAGAAGGCCGATCTGTACTTCTGCTGCTAAGGCAGCTGTGTGCTCTTCTGTACGGAGAGAGAGCGTTCCGTATTTCCATTGACTGTTATGACACCACGTGGACCAGGCATCTTGAGTTTGAGATAAGCATAGTGTGGCACTGCATTGAATCGGGCGAATGCGGTCCGTCCGAGCAGTGCGTGATAGCTGCTGCGTAAGGGGACTATGTCGAAGATTAATTCCTCGCTTCGGAAATTGTCCGGAGATCCGAAGACAGCCTCGAGCGTGATTGAGCCCGTACAGCGGGCCTCTACATCTGGTATGACTCCTTTGAAGGTAGTCTTTGTGGGTTTGATCTGTGATGGATGAATGCCCATTTTCTGCACTGTATCCTGATAGAGCAAGCTGAGGCTGCTACCACCGTCCACCAGGACTCGCGTAAGGTGGAACCCATCAATTATTGGGTCCAGGACCAGTGCGGCTGAACCGCCGTGACGGATACTGGTCGGATGATCCCGACGATCAATAGTGATCGGGCATGACGACCATGGATTAAATTTTGGGGTGACTGGCTCTATCACGTAGACGTCCCTGAGTGCGCGCTTGCGCTCCCTCTTGGGGATGTGTGTAGCATATATCATGTTCACTGTTTTGACCTGAGGGGGAAACTTCTTCTGTCCCCCCGTGTTCGGCAGCCGGGGCTCCTCGTCATCGTCTTTGCTTTGCGATCCCTTATCCTTGTTTTCGGCATTTAACTTCTCGGCCTGTTTAAAAACCCAGCAATATCTGTTGGTATGATTGGGTGGTTTGTCTGGGGTGCAATGAATCTGGCACGGACGATCGGGTATGCGGTCCAGGCTAGATGGGCCTGAATTGTTCTTTTTGAACGGATTCTTCCGCTGACCAGGCTTAGAGCCACTGAATCTGGCATTGATCGCCGTATCCTCAGTGTTGTCGTTGTTATTTTGACGTTTGTACCTGTTGCGCCGACACTTGTCATTGCTATTTTTAGCTTCAGGGGTGCCGGCGTCGCTTGCATTATTTTTGCTACGAGCCAGCCAACTATCCTCGCCCGCGCAAAAGCGGGTCATGAGTGCCGTGAGGGTCGCCATGGACTTTGGCTTCTCTTGGCCGAGGTTGCGGGCGAGCCATTCGTCGTGGATGATGTGTTTAAAGGCCACTAGGGCTTCGGCATCCGGACAGTCGACTATCTGGTTCTTTTTAGTTAGGAATCTGGTCCAGAATTTCCTGGCGGACTCTCCGAGCTGTTGCACTATATGTCTTAAGTCATCGTCGTCCAGAGGTCGAACGTATGTACCTTGGAAGTTATCCAGGAAGGCTTCTTCCAAGTCCTCCCAGCTGCCGATAGAGTTTTCGGACAGGCTGTTCAACCAGTGTCATGCTGGTCCTTTGACTTTTAGCGGGAGGTATTTAATGGCATGAAGGTCATCGTCGCGGGCCATATGAATGTGGAGAATGAAGTCTTCGATCCATACCGTGGGGTCTGTGGTGCCATCATATGATTCTATATTCACGGGTTTGAACCCTTCTGGGAATTCATGTTCGATGACTTTGTCGGTGAAGCAATGAGGGTGTGCAGCGCCTCTATATCGGGTCGTATCGCGACGTAGCTCCGATGGGGTCCATCTGCAGCTTTCGGCCCGTGCATGACTAGGTTTGTCACGTCCGAGCAGGTAGCCATCGTCGCGTGTCGGGGCACGTCCTCGCGATCCGTAGATCGATCTGGTATGTCCTGCTTTATTGTTCAGGTCATGTCGAAGGTCATATGTATGACCGTGAGCTGATTTACCTCTGACTTTGTGATGAGGCGGGGCGGGCTGGTGTTCGGCTTGAGTTGCCGCTTTGTCCCGTCCACGTGGTGGCCGGTCAGCCGCATTGTGCGATGGTGGTATGTGTTCCGGCGCCTCGTCGTCAAACTGAGGTAGTAATTTGCGCTTCGGGTAGCTTTTGGCCGGGCGCTTGAGGCCGTATTCTTCGGCTGCGAGGACGTCGGTCTATTTATCGTTGAGCAGATCTTGGTCAGCTGGAAGCTGCTGCTGCTTCTTTTTCAGGCTCCTTGTAGTGGCTATTAGCTGGCGGTTGAAGCGCTCCTGCTCAAGAGGTTCCTCAGGCACGATGAAATCCTCGTTGCCGAGGATCGCCTCATCCTCGGAGAGCGGAAGATAATTACTGTCCTCCGAGTCCTCGTGTGTGGCCTGTTTACCAGGGCTAACCTGCCCATCTTCCCGTTCATCCTGTTCGGTAGCTGCGTCAACGGGGTCTTCGTTGTCTTCGGCACCTTCCGGAGTGTTATCTTCTCATGTGCCAGTGTTGCTATCTTCTCCTGTGCCGGTGTTGCTATCTTTACTGCGGCATGACTTAGAGCGGCGCCGCTGACGCCGGCATTTCGATTGTATCTCAGGAGGTTTATCCTCAACTGGATCTTCTTTGTCATCGCCGCTATTCTCCTTTGGTGCATCCACCATGTACACATCGTACAAGGAAGTGGCCGTTCAACGTCCGGTGAACGGCGGGTCCTGGGCCTCTTCTTCTCCGGTATCGTCGTCCATACCGTCGATGTCATCGGAGCTGTAATCGAGCATGTCAGTTAAGTCTTCAACAGTGGCTATAAAGTGGGTGGCTGGTGGGGAGCGAAATTCCCTGTCATCGGCTTCTAGTTCGAACCGGATATAGTTCGGATGTGAGTCCCCCGCCAAGGACAGGTTCTTTAATGAGTTTAGCATGTCGCCCAAAGGCGAGTCCTGGAAGATGTCTGCAGCGCTGAATTCGAAGATCGATAAACGATCAAGTTCGGCGTCCGCGAACTCACACGGTTCGAAACTTACTGCCGGAAACGAGTCCAGAGTTCCGGAGACACAGATATCGTGTGAGGTTAAATCCATGTGCGGCTCCAACACCGGGGAATCTGTGGCCTCCGTGGTGGGGTTGAGCCTCCGGTCCTTGGATGGCGCAGTATGCTCCGGATCTAAAGCCAGAACGATTGCAGGAGCTATCTTCTGGATGTGGTCCGATGATAGATTTAGGTCATGTCCATCGGGGTGACCAGGAGCGGTTGCCACGGTCTCGAATCCAACGAAGATCAAGTCTCCACGGATGTCCGCAACGTAGTTCAAACTTCCAAATCTGACCCGGTGGCCAGGGGCGTAGCTATCGATCTACTCCAGATGGCCAAGCGAGTTGGCCCGCAGTGCGAAGCCGCCGAACACGAAGATCCGTCCAGGGAGGAAGGTCTCACCTTGGACGGCGTCATTGTTGACGATTGAAGGGGCCATCGAACCTTTTGAGGACGGCAAAGTGGAACTCTCAATGAAAGCACCAATGTCGGTGTCAAAAACGGCGTATCTCGGGTAGGGGGTCCCGAACTGTGCGTCTAAGGTCGATGGTAACAGGAGACAGGGGACACGATGTTTACCCAGGTTCGGGCCCTCTCTATGGAGGTAATACCCTACGTCCTGCTTGATTGATCTTGTTGAATATGAGTATCACAAGAGTTGATCTACCACGAGATCGTAATGGCTAAACCCTAAAGGTCTATCTTGTATGGCTAAGGTAATGAATATATCTCCCCTCTCCGGACTAAGTCCTCCGGTTTATATAGACACCAGGAGGATCTAGGGTTACACAAGGACGGTTACAAAGAAAGGAATCTACATGTTTGGTCGCCCAACTTGCCCTCCACGCCAAGGAGAGTCCCATCCGGACACGGGGCAGTCTTCGGTCTTCGTGTTCTTCACATCCCATCAGTCCGGCCCATGGCTAACAGGCCGGACGCCCGAGGACCCCTTAGTCCAGGACTCCCTCAGCCACGGGTCGCTTGTTGGGCTTGCCGCCATGATAGTATTACCAATTTCATTCGCAGGTAGTTTTTTCTATCATTACACTCACGCAGATGGCCTAAAATGCTTTTGGATATTGTACTCCTAGGATGAGAAATGTAGGAGGTGCTTATGTTAATAGACAAGTATAATTCCTAGAGTACACCGTTTAGATCGATTTCATAGGTTCCACATACAATTTTTCAAATTTACTTGTTGGATTATATAGTTAAATTTCAGTGTGATTTTATAGACTCAGTGTATGTAGTGGGGCATTTTCGTGACCAAGCTCCATGGAGCTTGATTTTTTTTCTTTAAATTTTTTAAAATTTTACTTTTCAGTTTTTAAAAAGTCTAAAAAATGCAAGTATACAAGTATGAAATGTATATGTGTGTAATTTTTTGTGTGCGAGTGCCTCGAAATGCAACTTTTGTGAAAAAGACAAATTCATAGACTTTGAGAATGAATAGTATCATGTGTTGAAAAGCCTCATATTTTTTTGCACGGCCCTCCTTTCAACGTATTTCGTCCTGAAAATTTACACACATGTACATTGTGTGTCCATGTATATGTGTATTTTTCACAATTTTTTGAAACATAGAGATATGAATTTGATGAATTGCAAAAGGAGGCCCCATGGAGCTCGGCTCCAAAAGCAATTTTCGCAATGTTATACACTTTTGAAAATTCAGTCTCAATCATGTTTCATGTAAAGGCTATAGCCATTCTTCTCTTGGAGAAAGACAAAGAAGGCTACAGCAGAGGCGCGTACACCAACACAGCGGATCGTTTGCCCGCGAGATGAGCCTTCCTCAGACGTTCAAAGGCTGCCGCGCCTCTGCGGTCTGCACCTGCTCAGGTCTGCTGCACCCACCACACTTTCCCCCTCCCTCGCACACTTCGCCACCTCCTCTCCCATCCTCCCCTCCGTCGCCTCCCGCATCCACCGCAATGGCGTCCCAAGCCCTGCGCCGCCTTCGCTTGCTCGCGGCTCGGGCCGCCGCCCTCCCCGCCTCACCGCACCAGCGACTCAGCCGGTCGCCCTTCGCCGCTCCGTCGCGGGCACAGGCCCACATGGCGTCGTCGTCGTGGGCCGTCCTGGGCAGCATCCCGCGGGTCGCGCCCCCCGCGGACGGCGCCGACGTCTCCCTCGCGCTCACCCCGCCCCCGCGCGTCTCCATCCTCACCGTCTCCCCGCGCCTCTTCCCTGAGCCCGTCACTCCCAAGTACTTCCCCTTCGTCCTCGCCGCCGACCCCTCCGGCCTCCTCCTCCTCCAAGCCACCCTCGGCCGCCCCTGGACCCGCGAGATCACCGACGGTCCCCACGGTCCCGGCGTCCACTGGCACGACTCCGAACCGCGCTACTTCGTCCTCGACGCCAACGCCGGCTCCGCGTTCCGCCTCCCCGAACCCAAGCCCGTCGACATCATGCACCAGGCCCTCCTCGGCCTCATCGCCTCCCCTGGCGGCGGCGGCCACTACATGGTCTCGGAGCTGCGCCCCATCATGGGCACTGACGAAGCCACGCTCCTCTCCTTCTCGTCCGAGGTCGGGAAGTGGGTCGAGCACTACCCGCTCCCGCGCCGCATCTTCGCGCCCATCGGCGTGGTCTCGCACCACGGGAGGCTCTGGTGGGTCGACCTCACATGGGGCGTCATCACCAGCGACCCCTTCGCCAGCGACCCGGCCCTCCGCTTCGTGCCGCTCCCGCCGGACAGGGTGCTGCGGTCCAGGGAAGCTTGGGGAGAGTCCGACATGTACCGCTGCGTGGGGGTGAGCGCCGGCAAGCTGCGGTTCGTCGACACCTACTACATGGGCCGTGTCATCGGCGGCACTCCCAACATCAGCGTGTGGACGCTGCCTGGTCCGGACTCCACGGAGTGGACGCTGGAGCACGAGGTAAGCTTTGGTGAGATCTGGGCCGATGAGAGCTACAAGGCCACTGGGCTGCCCGTGGAGATCCCCACGCTCGCACTCATCCATCCCGAGAACCCCGACGTCGTCTACTTCTTCCTGGAGAAGCACATGTTCGGTGTCGACGTGCGTGCGCGCAAGGTTGTGGACTGCAAGCTCTACGACCTGGTTGCGCCGCCGAGGTGCGCAGTCGCCAGCCGCTTCGTCCGAGCGTGGAGGCTTCCACAACAACAATCACCAGGTTAATTCCCATCACATTCATCACGAACCAATTAGGAGAACTGAATTCCATCTGCATATGTCTGCACAAGTTGCCGGGGACTGATCCTCCTTTCCAAACAAATATGTCTGCACAGGCATGTTAAGTGGTAAATGCACGGATTCTTTATCTTAGCCTATTAGGCTAGGTATTCAGTATTCGCCTATAACTGACATACTAGTTGATAGTTCACGCACTATAAAAGACGAGGGTTTGTGGTTAATGATTATATAGATCTAAATCTCTATCTTTGTTGTGCTTAAGCAAGGCAGGCTTTAGAGGCTGCACTTACCTTGGATCGAGGTCACGAAGTGATGCACATGTCGGAATTGGTTGTATGTTTTGTGTACGATGTTGTATGCCTTGATGGTAGTCGATGCTGATGTATTCCTTGATGGTAAAATGCATGTCATTGTGGTGCTTAATTGATACATGTATGTAAGATATTAGTTGTAGTATCATCGGACTAGACAGTCAGTACTTTTCCCCATATATAGCTCTGTTTTGTGCCATCATAATTTTACCATATGACTGATGTACAATATATCGAATGTCTCTTCTGTATTGACTAATATTCTTGTCTTTCAACTTCTCAAGGGATGCTTAACTGGTCTAATGATCCAATCTTGACTGCAAAAGACAAATCTCCACATGGGAGTTACCCCCTGGAGGGACTTACCAGCAAGACATTCATAGGATGAATTGGAGGAACATGAAGCAGCAAGTGTTTTTGGCTAACTGTCTCCTAGGTGAGCTAAATTCTCACATGGATCTGTTATGATTTGGTGCTCTTTCTTCGAACATCACGCAACTCTAGTAGTACTAAGTTTTCTTATGCCCAAATTTCCTTTGATCCAGGTGAATTTAGTACTGAATTCAGGTCGTGGAGCGCATGGGATATGATATGGTCTATTCTGGTGACATGCCTGCTCTAGTAGTCACGGAGTTCTTCGCTGAGACGCAAAGTAGCTTAACATGTCGTCTTTGGTCTGTAAGATGGTGAATGGAATCGGTCGCTTAGTTTGTATTCCTCCTCGGATGGAATGCTGATACTCAGAGTAGTGTTGTTTTGGTTGATGGTGATGCTGCCAGACTTTCAAGTGATCCCTTGAATCTGCTCGAATGATATGAAGCTCTTCAGTGATTTATTGCTTCTTCCTTTCACTCGAGTTTTTAGTGTTGATCATCGGTTTGAGCCTTGTATGCTATTTGCATTGTTGACCATCCTCAAAATTGGTTCTCTTTTCTCTTGATTTTTATCTGGTATCAGAAGACAGCAGTGAGAGCTTGTTGCTTGACCACGAGCTTTATTACCCGAGGAAGGGAATGCAAAATAAGCATGCATGCTGCCGAAGGAGCTGGAAATTAGAGCATCTCCAACGGATTGCCATTTCCCAATAAAAAGCTGATATTGGAGGAGTTGGGTTAGAAAACAGCTCCAACAGGTCTCAAAACGCAAAATAATATGGGAAAAGCTTTGCGTTCAGCCGGTGCACCTTCTCTGCGTGGCGCGTGTTTTATGTGTGTCTTTCTATAATTTTTTTCGCAACATCATGTGTGTTGCAAAATTGCCTTCCGCAAAAACACCCATGTTGCAAAAGAAATGAAGCCGAATTTTTTTTAAAACTTTTTCTGCAGTATCATCTGTGTTGTGAATTTTTTTTTCCGCAACACCCATGTTGCAAAAATAGTAAAGAAAAAAAATCCGCAACATCACCTATGTTGATGTTGCAAAAGGTTTTTGCAACATGAGCTTTGTTGCAAAAAAATTCCGCAACACTACCCTTGTTGCAATAATGAGGATGATGTTGGACGTTGGGTAACTCTAGATCTAACTGCTGCCGAGCCGGCGGATCTTTTAAAAGGATCCGTCGACCGACGCGCGGCCCAAATAATATTGGGGGCTTGTATGACTGGCCATACTTTTCCACTATTTAGGGAAAAAACATCTTCTCCATTAACTTTTCGTAATCCTGGCGGGAATCAACCTTCTTCCACACCCCTTTTTGTCTCCCGCTGTCACACGTTGGTGTGCTACCATCGACTATACCGCCCCCTAGGTCTTCACCGCCACTCCTCCCGTAACACCGACCACCAGCCTTCCCCACCCTTGGCCTTCGTCCTTGCCTAGGCGGTCTGGTTGGCAAGCAGCATGTCCGGTCATCTACTGCCGCAAGCCGGTGTGCCGTTGCTGACTGTACCGTCAATCCCGTCCCCCTGTAGGTCTTCACAAGCGCAATCCCCTACGGCCCGCCGCTCCCCTCGTGACGCCCGCGGGCCCGCCTCCTCCACCCTTGTCCTTCGTCGTCGTCCTAGCCTAAGCGATCCGGTAGGGAAGTGGTCCGTCCGTAACGGCACCATGGGGGAGGATGGTGTCATCATTCGTTGATGCCCCCTCGAGCAGGCAATGAAGCCATGAGCATCAAAGAAGGCGACGACGGCCGCGCCCGCAACCCCACCACCGTCCTTCACGACAACTCCATCAACGTCCGTCACACAAATGCCTTCGGACGTGCCCCCCTTCTCTGATGCCGATGAGGACTTCAACATGTACAACACCAAGGAGGTGTACAACAAAACACAAGGGATGCATTTTTTTCATTTGTTTAATTTTTAGAAAACACAACCATTATTTTACATGGAAATATGCAAGGCACATTAGTTTCATATTTGGGATTATGTAGCCAGCAATCATATGTTGACATAAATAGAGACATTTCTTGGTCCACTTCGTCTGAGGGTGAGGATGATCAAGTTGTTTTTAGGCTTCCAAAACAAAGAGATGGAGTAGGGGATAGCAACTTCTCCACGGACGAGGATGATGCATTGGGCATGCCATGGGAGGGTGTGAGCATTGATCCGATACAAGGGACCGATCAAAGTGAAGACATAGTGGAACTATGTTGCATATCACTATCATCGTAATGTGTTTGTTTCCATCGATTGCTCGACTAAGACCCTTGCACATCGATGGATAAAAGTTCAGGAATGTTACAACCGTTGGGTTGGTTATATGGCTCAAGTGGACCGTGCCAAATCTAGTGGAGTCACAGAGGACATGTTGGTGAGTATATTTTCCTAAAAATATATATATATATGAATTGTTTCCAATCAAATTGTCAATGTGAAATTTTGAACTTGATAGCACAGCTACACAAACGAGTTCTACAAGAAGAGGGAGACGAAAGGCAAGTCTTCTGTGTTGATCCATTGTTGTGCTTTGCTCCCCAATAATGAGAAGTGGAGGACATGAACTATGACGCAAATCCAACCAAAGAAGAAGGGTAAATCATCATGGGCTGCTCAAGTGCACAACAATGACGATACCAATGATGATATTGATGAAGTCCCAAATCCTAATCCCAACACGACTCCAAGCATCACTGCGAAGAGGCCACCCAAAACGAGATGTGAGAAAGATAAAAATAATAATGGAGTCGACATAGTTGTGTTCAAGAATACCATGAAAGAGATCATAACAAGCACAAATAAGTTGGAGGAAATGAATAAACAAGAGAAGGAAATGAGATGGTCCGAGGCCAAGGCAATGGAGGAGTGCAAGGCGACAATCAAAGAACAGAAGCTAAGAATTGACGGGTCCAAGTCACAATATCTTGAGAGGATTAAGGCGCAAATTATAGCATTGAAGATAGTAGGATGTAGTGAGTGGATGACAATGGAAGTGGGAATGGGAATGGTGATGGGAGTCAGGAGTGATGCTCTATGTTTGATCTTCATGTTTATGCTTTATGTTTGATGATTTCCGTGTGTTAGGTGAACCATATATTGCATGTTTGATCTTCCTGTTATGTTTCTTCCAATCATTTGGACCATTCGTTATGTCTACTTTGAATCATTTTACCAGATTTGTTATGGTTCAATTTGACTTTCATTTTTGAGTCTAATTTTATAAACTGTGGGTTGGAAAAGATGTTCAATTATGTGTCTCCAAAATAGCATTATTTGACTTACTATATTGATAGAATAGATATGCATATTCCATTTATATGCTTTTTTTAAAGAGAAACAAAAAAAATATTGAGAAGATGTTGCTGAAAGTGCAACTAATTCTAGGGTGGTTTTGGTAATTCATAACAACATATAGCTCATTGAACTAATATCCATTCAATTTAAATATTTCAAGAAGTTCACTAGATGGCATGGTATGGACTAGAGATGTGGACCCCTCAAAATGCTAAGGACATATGTTGGCAAAAGCTCAAGACTCTCCATTTCTATTTTAGTGATCCAAGATCACATTGAGTCCATAGGAAAGCCAATACTATTAAAAGGGGATGGGGTGTTGATTAATGGTCGACTTGCTCAAAGTGCTTAGTGATATTGCTCCAAAGCCCTCAACCACTTTCTCATTTCCAAATATGTCCAAAACTCAAAGTCAAACTCGACCCCACCAAACTGTTCTATTCGGTGCCATCGACTTCATTTGACCTAGCCACTACGAGAAACCCTAACACCTTGGTCACACCGATACAGATCTCGGTCTCACCGAGATGGCCCTGCAAACCCTCTGTTTCCCTTTTGTAACATTTCGGTCTCACTGAAATGAGCGATTGGTCACACCGAGTTTGCTTGACCAATGATGCCCACAAGTATAGGGGATCAATTGTAGCTCTTTTAGATAAGTAAGAGTGTCGAACCCAACGAGGAGCAGAAGGAAATGACAAGTGGTTTTCAGCGAGGTAATGTCTACAAGTGCTAAAATTGTAAGTAGCAGAGTAGTTTGATAGCAAGATAATTTGTAACGAGCAAGTAACGATAATAGTAGAAAAAGTGCAGCAAGGTGGCCCAATCCTTTTGAGGCAAAGGACAGGCCAAAACAATTTCTTATGATAAGCAAAGCATTCTTGAGGGTACACGGGATTTTCATCTAGTCACTTTCATCATGTTGGTTTAATTTGTGTTCGGTATTTTGATAATTTGATATGTGGGTGGACCGGTGCTTAGGTGTTGTTCTTACTTGAACAAACCTTCTACTTATGATTAACCCTCCCGCAAGCATCTGCAACTACGAGAAAAGTATTAAGAATAAATTCTAACCATATCATTAAACTTTTGGATCCAATCGGTCCCTTACGGAATAGCGCATAAACTGGGTTTAAGCTTCTGCCACTCTCGCAACCCATCACCTAATTGCTACTCCACAATGCATTCCCTTAGTCCCAAATATGTTGAAGTGTCATGTAGTCGACGTTCACATGACACCACTAAAGGAATCACAACATACATACTATCAAAATATCGAACACATATCAAATTCACATGATTACTTGCAGCATGATTTCTCCCATGACCTCAAGAACAAAAGTAACTACTCACAAAAGATAATCATGCTCAAGATCCACTACTGCAGGATGCTGCTAACACGACACTACGATTAGAGACCCTTCAACGAAACTATGTGCGATGTAATAATCGCAAACGGTGGTGTAAAAGAACTGTAACAAAGGTGCATAACATTTGCGATGGAGAATGCATCAAATATGGTTCGGATTTTAGTTGCGTGTGCGATGCAGGGCATATGGTTCAGTTCAATGAACTATTTGCGATGAGGCAGAACAAAAGAAACGGGCAGCCAGATGAAGGCGTGTGCGATATACATCATACGGTTCACTCGGATGAACTGTTTGTGATTAGGCAACACAAAAGAAATGGTCAGCCAGATCAAGGTGTGTGCGATATA